AGGAATTGACGAGCTTGATGGCAGCATTCAGGCTGTCAAGCCAATTATGTTTGGATTTTAGAAAGTGCTGGAAAGGAACAAGATGACAAAATTAATTTCCATGTTTAAATAGCCCCTAATGGAGGATAGAGGTAGGACACACAACATTTTCCATACAACACTTATAAAGAAATGACACATAAACAATTATTAATGAGATTAAAAAGATACTTTAATCTTCCAGCTTTTTTTTTTTTTTAATTCCTTTAATCTAGTGGTGACCGTTGTTACTCTGCTGTGTGTTTACACTAGCGGCCATCTTTTCAGGAAGCTTATGCCAAAGACGGAAGTCAGAGTTTGAGTGAACATGTGTGTTTTTTCAAGCGTTTTATGTACTTTACATGTAAGCTCAATAGAAATCTTCTGTTGAAAAAGAGGATGGAGTGTGCATCTTTGGGAAGGATACTCAATTAGCCTTAAAAAGCTTTAGAAAGCCCTGGCTATTGGGTACTTCACTGTATGCCTTTAAATTGCAGGCGAGCTAATTCATCAAGTATACATTTTCATAGTTGAAACAACTGCCTGCCTTGATGAATATCTTATTTTTCTCCAGTTCTGCTTTCTGGGCAGCAAATAAATGCTTTTAGAGCTAACTGCTGCTGTGATTTTGAGCATTTCACTGGTGAAGGTACTTGAGCATTTCTCAGTATTACTAATAGAACAGCTTTGAGAAAAATGTACTTAATGCACAAAGCACACTTATCCTTTAAATTTACTATATTAGCTTTCAATCACTGGGCCTTGAGTGCATGGGCTTTCTGGATTGCCAGTCAGAACATATGTAATTTTCCTGTTATACAAGCTGGCAGCAGCACTGTTCATTTGATCAGCTTGGAAGGGAGCAATAACACTTGAAGCTTATCTGCAAAATGAGACTAGATATTTTGCCATTTTAATAACAATGTGCATTCTCCATCATCTGCTGTTTCTCCCCTGAAGAATCTTGTTCCCATTCCTCTTCATAGCTTGCTTTGCATTTCAGTGACGCCTTTAATTTCATGTAACATTTTTGACAGTATTTCATGCTAATAAGTTGCGACTGTCTTCAGAACTTGAGAGCTAATATGATGCTGTACTCAGGATGGTGTAGAGAATTCCTCAGTTTTCTTAACACTTTATTTACAGTGTCAGAAAACAGGGACATACTAAGTTAAGTATTTCTAAAAATTAGTTGCAAGGATCCTTTACTAGCCTTGGGAGTTTGAGATTCATAGACAGAGAAATCATTCTTAATGTCTGGCAGAAGATGGGACTGCACTTTCTGTTCTCACTGTGCTTTAGTTGTCTTGCCTGTGTAGAAGAATGGTGCATTTATGCGCTCTATGAGACTAGTAATCATGAATTTTCTGGCTACAGAAAGCAGGTTAAAGACATGTTCTGTGGACTGGTTCATTGGTTTGGTTTTATTTTGTTTCCAATCACACCTTTACTAAAGGGGACATAGGAGATAAAACATTTCTGTAAAAGGCTTTCATAAATCCCTTTAAAGAAACGTATGTGCTTTGTACCTTCCACCAAATTCCTTTAAAATGTTTTGGCTAGCTGTTTTAATTGAACACTGAGACAGACAGGAAAACTGCTATGTCATGTACTGTTGGACTGCTAGTTGAAAGTGGCATTGGATCTCCTGGAAGGCTAATATTCCACTATAGAAAAAGAAGAAGTAGAAACACTGACCTTCATAGCATGATTAGTGTCACATACTCCTCAGGCTGCTGAGAAACTCCAGAGCCCCTCAAAGGGGTGGATGCAAACTGAATGTATTGTTACTGCTGCCCAGGGAAAGCCGTTTCTGTGGGAGAGGCTGCAGCCTCCTTCATCTCGTTGAACAAACTTAATTTGTTAGCTCATTGACTAAAGCACCAGGATCCGTTCCTGCGGGAGCCGGGTACTGTCACAGAGGGAGCAGGAAGGGATGGTGTAAATTCAGAAAAGCTTGCAGGTTTAGAGGCACTAAATGTAAAACCCAGCCCCATCATGTTTTAGTCAGATTTTCTGAATTATGGAGCCCTTGTTCATTTTGCTATTATTTTTGTTTGTCTTAATTTCCCAGGGTTCCTAAGATCAAAGATAGTCAAGTGACTTGGCTCACATGGCAGTAACCATTCATGGGGCAGGCTGTGCAG